CCCCCCCCACTCTCTAGTGTCTTCACGGACACCCTCTTTCGCAGAAAAAATCCGCCACGTTTGGTGCAGGGAAAATTTGCTGCTGAGCATTTCTGCCCTCTAGTGTTTAAAATAAATAGGTGCAGGATTACTTGCAGAGATGCGACAGATTTCATTTAAAAAAACAAACTTGAATCCGTGACATAGAATGTTGGAAATAAAACATATTTTGAAGAGATTTTCTCCACCGTGGAAAAACAACCTGAAAACCCCCACTAGTACTGATGTTTCCAGCAGTGCTGTTTCAGGCTTGTTCTTCATTGTTCCTGGCTGAAGACTGAGCAGCAGGTCTGACAGGTCTATATCTATGTTCTGACTGTGGTCTGGATGTGAATGGATGGAGAACTTTAAGAGAACAGAACTAAACAGAACCACAGTCTGTTTCCAAGGAAATTCTTCTTCACTGTTTTCCAAGGGAATCATGTGACTCCTGCTCATTGGCCAGAACGGTCTGTCCGTGGTCACTGTAGCTCTGATTGGGCAGGAAGGACAGCCTGAAAAGACAAAAACTGGAGTGAACTTTGAAACAGATCAAGGATCAGATTCAACATTTGAATTTAGATAAAAGTGATGAAACTAAAGCTGGTTAACAGCTGGTTAACAACTGACCAGGGTATTTAGAGATCTAGAAAGAACTAGTTCAGAAAGTTAAACTCGAGTTGGCCAGATGTGTTAATGCTAGCTGGAGTAGCTAAACATATGCTACAAGAGTAAATGTTACTAAAAATGATGTGTCTGCAGTAATACACACACACACACATATACACATATACATACACTACAAATACACATATTTCATATAGACAAAAATATAAATTAAATAAGAGTTGAGTTATAAATACAGTAGATCTTCATCATTATCGTCATCATCATCTTCATCATCACAGCCACAAATAGATGAAGAACATTCTAAAGTTTGTATCAAAATACTTTGTTTTTACTATAATATTTTCATAAAGTTAACTTCAAGTTTACTGCAATACTGGAGCTGAAGACTGACAGTTGTCCCTCCACTGTCTCACTGTCTCACTGTCTCACTGTCTCACTGTCTGTCCAGGAACTGTCACAGTTCAAAAAAAGTACTTTTTATACTGTTCATATGTTCCATCCCCAGTTAGTTAGTTAGTTAGTTAGTTAGTTAGGTGGTCTTTCTTTTTTAGTTAGTTTGTTAGTTAGTTAGTTAGTTAGTTAGTTAGGTAGGGAGTCTTTCTTTTTTAGTTAGTTAGTTAGTTATCTAGTCTTTCTTTTTTAGTTAGTTAGTTCGTTAGTTAGTTAGTTAGTTAGTTAGTTAGTCTTTCTTTTTTAGTTAGTTAGTTAGTTAGGTAGTCTTTTTTTTTTAGTTAGTTAGTTAGTTAGTTAGGTAGGGAGTCTTTCTTTTTTAGTTAGTTAGTTAGTTAGGTAGTCTTTCTTTTTTAGTTAGTTAGTTCGTTAGTTAGTTAGTTAGTTAGTTAGTTAGGTAGTCTTTTTTTTTTAGTTAGTTAGTTAGTTAGTTAGATAGTTAGTTAGTTAGTTAGGTAGTCTTTTTTTTTTAGTTAGTTAGTTAGTTAGTTAGATAGTTAGTTAGTTAGTTAGGTAGTCTTTTTTTTTTAGTTAGTTAGTTAGTTAGTTAGTTAGTTAGGTGGTCTTTCTTTTTTAGTTAGTTAGTTAGTTAGGTAGTCTTTCTTTTTTAGTTAGTTAGTTAGTTAGTTAGTTAGGTGGTCTGCTCCGCTCATATTCCCTGCTTCATCATCAACTCCTTGCATCCGCTCCAGTTTTCCTCATCTATTTCACAGTTTCACAGAGAGGCACAGCAGACACTGGAACTGTTTCTATTCCACGTCTGTGCTAATGCTAACATCTTTCTGTGGATGTGGAACGATCACATTTCTCTATTATCTGGTTGTTTTCAGACAGGAAGTAGAGAGGAAGAGGCAGGAAGTCCAGGCTTGGTTTTTCCAATGTGACCAATGAACCATTTCCTTCTTTATTGACTTCTGCCTGACCTTTGTGGAAAGCAGCGTGTAGCGGTTAGGATACCCGCTAACGGCGAATTTAAACGCATGTTAAGACGTTTTAGAAGAGTCGTACGTGAGATGTACGTGTTTTTATATGTGAATCCAACTGATGGAATTATTATGACTTCAAAAACAGCCTCACAGAGTTGGTGACATTTATGATATATGTATATACACATACATACAAATGTATGTATGTGTATATACATTTATATATGTCTAAATATATGCATATACATTTGTACAAATGGACAGAACTGGAACATTTAAAAGTGACATGTCATTACTAAATTAGTTAATATTGGTATATAATTAGATATATATAATAAAATATATACATGCATATATATGCTGTATATTAACAATATATGTCACTTTTACAATGATCCTGTCATTTGCTGATGTTTTTTCCTTTTTTGTCTCTGTAAATGGGTGAATACATCAATAAAATACAAATCAAAAATATCTAACTATCAAACTGACTCAAAGAAGGAGTCAGACGTTCCAGTCACAGCTGGTCTCAGACTGAACGTTCACACGATCACGAAACACAGTCCAAGAACAAGAGGTGATAAAAACGTCTCTAACTGTGGATGAATAATCACTGAACAGACATACATAAATATTTCCAAAAGAAAATAATAAGTTAAACTCTCAAAAACTACTAAGAAAAACAAAGCGTTTTACAGTAAAAAGTTCTGATGAGTGAGGAAAACATCATGACTTCATCCAAGGTTTCTTAACCCAGGATTTTCGACCCTCTTCAAAGGTCACACACATGACCCCTGAGGCCAGAAAAGGAAATGAGACAAGATAAGTCCAGATAAGATAAAGTCAAACCCTGTTCCAATACTTTAGGTGAACTAACTGTGAACAGGGTTGGGGTTAGTTAGGGTTAGTTAGTTAGTTTATTGACATCACAGTTCTCCTTAATAAACACATCACTGTGGAGTTTAAGAAACAAAAAAAAAAAACCCACAAAAGTAATTGTCATTTCGTACAAGGTTAAACAGATTTTTTTAACTGCTAACACACAAGTGATGCATTGTGGGATTGCATATTGCTAGGCTACGTATGGCCCTGGGACCACTATTTGAAGAATGTATATTGTGATAGCATTGGGTAGATCAGCCTACAATAGATATAGAGTCACGTACATGAACTCATTTGGTTCTTCCTAATGACAATAAAGAACCTTGACTTCACTGTTTCATTACACGTGTTTTCTAAAAGGTATGTTTCAGATTTATTTAATTGAAAATGTAAATGTGAACTGATGAATTTTCCCCGCATACCACTAGAGAGCGCTTGGTTACCACAGTTTGAGAACCATTGCCTTAGAGAATAATAAACCTGGAAAAACAATTTAACAACAAAAAAGAAGGAAAAAATGCGACAGAAGTGCACTTGACGGACAGTCGATGAACAGTTAACAAACGGTTAGCGAGAAGTTGATGAACGGTTAACGAGCGTTTGACGAACGGTTAACGAGCGGTTCTCTCGTCAGTCAACTCCAAAAAAAAAAAAAGAAGAAAAATCAGAGGAAAAAGTTGACTGTGTGTTTGACTAGAGTGAGTTATGAATACCACCGTTGTTTATTAGTACCACAAATATATATATAAATATTCCTTTGTCCCAGCTGGCGTGGAACCAAAGAGTTCCCTGGTGTCTGGACTCCGAACTGACTTTCTGAAACGGATCTGTCTATTTTACAGCCTATAAACCCCGACACACAGACAGCTAAACACACGGCACTGAAGTCATATTTAATGTTGTCATGGCAACGCGAGGCTACTGGAATTCAAATCATCTGTGAAGACCAGATCAGAAGAATGAAAACGGCTGAGTCGACATTCCTCAACCTGATCCTGTCAAATTTAATATCAGAGCCACAAAGATGGACTCACTCCTCCATCGCCCCCATCAGGCAGAAGATAATTATTTCTCTGTCTTTTGTCCAGTTTGTGCTTCTAAGACTGAGTGCAGACGTCTACTCTGTAGAACCGCCGTCGGTCTACACCACTGTCACAGTCTTTACAGATTGTAAAGTACTTGTAGTACTTTACACCAGCCGTCCCCAACATTCTTTGTACCAAGGACCGGTCAGCTGGTATCAGCTGGTATCAGCTGGTATCAGCTGTTACTGTGGACCACAGTGTCACCATTGTAGGAAATGTTTCGACTTTTTCCTGAGTATTGGAGACTGAACGACCTTTAACCTGTCGTTTTGAAACATTGCCAGATTATACTTTAATGAAAGAAGTAAAGGGATATGACTGTATACTGTGTCCGACTGCAACCCGGGACCAAATGACCCACAGACCGGCACCGGTCCCCAGACTAGGGGTTAAGGGCCCATGTAGTGCACCATCAAAGACTGACCTTGGATCCAACAACTGTTTGATTCACACACTATGATTTAACTAAACAACAAAGCTAGCTGCAGCTAGCTAACTCTTGCACAGCAGGGCGACAGTTCGGCAGGTAAACAAACACGTCACACAGCTGAGAAATATTCAAACATGTTGGTTCTTTTTTTTCTTCTGGTCTGTTCCCCTCACACAAAAACAGATCTTTGTTTTCTGACTAGCCGTGCTAGCTGGCTGCTAAGTGGGAACGATGATGCTGATTGGAAAGAAACCCATCATTGTTTGGGTTTGTTTTAGAGCTTTCTCAACAGACCCTAATATTGGCAGGTCAGTGGTGGTTCCGTGGTTAGTGGGTATCATGCCTGCCTTACACATCTGCCTAAAATGCCAAGTATCCCAGGTTTGAGCTCCAGAGAAACCACATACCCCTAATATCCCCCGTGTGGCAGCCTGTGGTCATTGCAAAGACTCTCACCGTGAATTACCCATCGTGGGACAAATGATGGATTTGAATTTCTTTTTCATATTGGACTTGGCATT